CGGGGTAGCTCACTTTCCACAACGAATATATCGTCCTGGTAAAAGGCTAAGTCGAGGTCCAAGTCACCCAGGCACGGACCCAGCCGTTTCCACCCTCTCGAGTCGACGAGGCTTGCGAGTTGAGCTTCCATTACTAGGCCAAACAGTTCGGCGCTTTCTGGAGCACCCTGCTTGATGCCCACGTTGGGGTGGATCTCAATCTCATTTCCTCCCGGAACGGTCCCCTTGAGGGTGTACACCTTGAGCTGAGCCAACAGATAGCGAAGTTCATGTGGCACCCCTGCTTCACGAAGGCGGTCCTTGAGTAGCTCGATGACTCTCAAGCGATCAAGCCTGTCGAAAGCTCCTGCTATGTCAAGTTTACAGACGAGGGCCGGAAGCTTCCATTCTTGGACGACTTCTTTGACACGACAAAGGGCGCCAATGACGTCCGCTGCTTGTCTACCCTTGCCACAACCAGAGACCCGCGATCCACACCGAACGTGAGGCAGCGCACGAGCACAGACCATTTTGTTGATCAACTTGTGGAATGCACTGCTGACACAGATGGGCCGTAGGTCTGCTGGCTTGCGGGGCAAGTCCGTCTTCGCCAGCAAAGCTAAGAAGTTCTCCTCCCAGACTGTTGGTGTTGCCTGATGCTCAACAATGTGGTTTATCAGCCCGAGGAGGTCACCCCAGTACCTGTCGTCATTGGCAACAGCTTTCAGAAAGTGCACCCCTAATCCATCCGGACCAACGGCGGCTCCTGGCTTCATCTCCTGCAGTGCGGTGCGGACCTCGAGGATGGAGAAGTCAACGAAGACGTCGTCCTCTTGCACTGAGTCGATGTGGCCCTGCAGGATGGCGTCCCAGTCAGGGAAATTGTCATCTGTCATCTTCTCTTTGAGGTGACCAAGGACTTGCGACGTGATCTCCTGCGCGGTGTTGTGCTCAAGAAGTCGTCCCCACCAGCCCTTCTTCCTCGCTTTTTCACGCTGAAGGGCACGATATTGTTCCCAATCGCCATTGAGGATGCGAGTCAGACGAGCCGCTTGCCATTCTCGCTTTGCTCGTCGGCGGAGCTTGTGCACCTTCTTCCATTTCCGGGGGTCACCAGTGGTCCTCGCCTCAAAGATTGCCTCCTTCACCTCCTCCGGGTCCTTGTAAGACTGTCCACGTCTGGGCGCTGTGCAGGTTTTGGCCATCTTGATCAAGTCCTCCGCATCCACAATGACAGTGTCCGGCAGGTCACCCACCATGAAGCGTGCTCTGGAGTCATTTCCCCACCTGTGCGAGCTCGTTCCTCCACCCCAAATGTCCATGATGAGTGCTGCATGATCCGTGCCAATTGTATGTCTCCTTTCGGCATCGATTGTGACAGATGTCGTGAGTACATGTCGTCCCCAGAGCATGTCAATTTGCCGTCCAGAGCGCGAGGAATCCCTCGGGAAGTGCGTTGGAGCGCACTTAAAGAGCACATCAGGCGCTCTCGGCTCAATCCCGAGCTGGTTGGCCTGATCTGTGAGAAGGTTGAGGTTGGAGGACGATGACCCAAGGTGGAGTGCTTCCGCTTCCTCATTCCAACAGGGGACCTCATTCACATCGAATCCAGCCAGTAAC